AACGTGATGATTTATCAGCGCTGGGCATGCCTACGGGCGGTCATCGTACCTCAGAGAGTCAGTGCTGGAGGCCGCCAGAACCAGGATGGGTGAAGATCAATACGGACGGGGCTATAGATATTGATTCTCCTAACGAGGGTGAAGGAGGTGTTGCTAGATCACACATTTCTTTCCAAGGAGCTTGGAGCAGTCGCTTCCAAGGGTTTCCAATCCCTTCATATCGGAACTTCTAGCAGTGCGAGAAGCTGTGATGTTTGCCCAGCTGAGGGGTTTCTCGCATGTGATTATGAAAACAGATTGTTTAGAGGTTGTCAACCTTCTGGTCTTCACGACACAATGCTTAAGCACGACACAATGCTTAAGCAATTGTGGCGCCTATCTTAAATGAAATAGGGGAGAGATCTTCTTCTTGATTCGTCATGTCATGAGGAAAGCTAACGCTCCGGCCGATTTATGTGCCAAATATGCTACTAGTCTTAGTAATACCGATGGATTGATGAAAGCTTGGGGTTCCTTGTTAGGACCCTTGTGGGCGATTGTAACCGAATTTTCATTATTAAGCAATAAAGATCCCCAAGTTTCCGAGTCAAAAAAGGAAAAGGCTTTCCTCCAACCGGCTGATCCAACCATTGCATCCGCGCGCACAACCGTCGGGTCGTACGTGGATCGAATGGTCTTGTGCTCCTCTGGTTCCACCTATCTCTAGAAATATCCAGCTCCAACTAGAGCATCCCTATCATTTTGTGAGTCAACGTCCACCACTTATCCATCCACAATTCTCCACCGCTTCTCCCTCGAGCACTCAGTCATGGCGCTGCGATTATGTAGCCTCGCCACCGTGCCTGTTGCTTTACCGTACCTTGCTGCCGCTCTACATTGCTACGGGGCAAGCTGCCGCTACTGCAGGCCAGCCATCGTCTCTCTCTCTCTCTCTCTCTCTCAACTGTGGCCATGGCTGTGCACATCGACCCTTTTAGCACCCCATGCGGGATGTCATGTGCCGCGAGCTTTCGCACGAAACGGCGGGCACGGCGGTGTTGCAAAACAACGACCGCGGTGGTATTTCCGTAACATCGTCTCCGTTGCAAAAAAATTCTGCCAAAACAATCTATGTTACACAAATTTTCTGCAACTTGATCTCCGTTGCATAAATTTTTTGCAACACGATCTGTATTGCAAAAGTTTCTGCAACATGATCTCTGTTGTAAAGGTTTCTACAGCATGATTGCCTTATATCGGCGGATCACACGCAAGCATCCGTCGGCTTGTTCGTACGACGCGTGTCTTGGCAGGGCAATTTATTTTCTTTCTTTCAATCAACTTGGCCGCTGCTCGCTGCTCACTGTCCACTACAATGAGTTTCCGCATCATAGACTCGATTGCAGCAAAAATGCAACAAGACCTCTGTTTCAGAAAAAATAAATTTTCAGCAAGACCTGCAAAAAATTAAATTGCAACAAGACCTTTGTTACTTTTTTTTGAAACAAGACATTTGTTACAAAAGAAATATCTTGCAAAAAATTCTATAACATGACCTATGTTGCGGAAATTTCCCCGCAACACGACCTGTATTGCAATGATAAAAGGTGACGCTCTCTCAATTCGTTGGATTCAATGGCTCGTGAGACGGCGGACGCGTAGCAGCCGAATTATCACCCGAGGTTCTTTTTGCAACACATGTTGGGTTGCAATGAGGCAGGATCTATGTTGCAAAAAAGTTGTGTAAAAAAAATTCAAAAAAAGTTCCGCAAGAGGACCTCTGTTGCAAAAGTTTCTGCAACATGAGCTTTGTTGCAAAAGTTTTCGTAACATGACATCTGTTGCGAAAGTTTCCGCAACACCGTCATTGTTGCAATTGTAAAAACGTGTCTGGATCATAGGTTGACACTAGATCTAACGGCTGCCAAGCCGGCGGATATTTAAAAAAAAATCCCCGTCAAAAAAAGACCCAAAAACTAAGAATTCCCTGGTACTGTATATACTACTCGTTATATAGAAAATGGGAGATCAGAACCAATTCATCTCAGCCGTTTCTTCACGCCTGATTTAATCCAAGCCGTCCATGTCTGCCCTTAACTGAAGCTGTTGGGGACGAAGAGCTCAGACTCCCGACACGCGCGAAGGGCCCGGCGGCGCCTCGCCTGATGCGGCCACGCGGCGGCGGTCGCCCGCGACGGACGAGCGGCGAGCGGTCCTCCTCTGGTCCATGGCGTCGACGGGGCGCTGGAGCTGGACGGCGGCGCGGCAGAGGGGGCAGGTCGGCGAGGCGGGCGAGCTGCGGACCCACTCGTCGATGCAGGTCATGTGGAACCTGTGCCTGCACGCCAGCTGGGCCTCGGCCCTGGGGACGATGGCGCAGAGGCAGACGATGCAGTCAGCGGCCGCGAGCAGCGCGGGCGCCCGGCGGGCTGGGGCCGGCCCCGAGCGCGCGAGCGGGAGCAGCGCCGCGCCGGACGCGGAGGCTCGGCGGCGGTTGGCGCGGCGGCGGAGGAGGCGGTTGATGACGATCGACGCGGCGGCGATGAGGGAGATGACGCCGAGGATGATGAGCGCCGACCGGGCGATGGCGTGCGAGGCGGAGGCGGGCGGAGCCGGCGTCGGCGGCAGGGCGACGACGAGCACGGCGTACGGCGGCGCGGGTGGCGCGAGGGATGAGGCCATGGCGGAGGAGGAGGAAGAGGGGTGGCGCTTGGATTTCAAATTTCGGAAGCAGGAGGCTGGAGCTCGAGGTAGGCACGCGTGTGGGTTGTGGCGGTCGGGGTCGGGCTCGTGCGTTTGCTTGTATATATGGATGGATCATTGATCGGAGGCAGGGGGTCGATCGGAGGTCGATCGTCAGCTCTATCTGCTGTTCAGCGTAGAGGCAAGCCCGTCTGTCACTCAAATCTTTGATTGACTGCGACGAGCTGCGCTTCCCATCCAAATGAGCAGTGTTTGGTTTACTGTCAGTGCTGAGCAGCAAATGTTTTTCATTCACTGATCGTCTTCTGAATTCCCAGGTACTGAAATCTGAAGTCTGCAGCCTGAACCTGAAGAGGAGGGAATGCAAGCTAATATGTATGCGTGAAATGCTCCTACCAACCAACTGCATTCCTGCTGATCCAAGCTACTGCGGTGTTTCATCAATGGAGGGATGAATGGTCAGGTGTGCGGATCAACCCAGGAGGGAGGGTTGCATACAAGTGGGACAGTTTTTCTACTTAGATTGTACTACAAAATTACATCAGGTCGGCGGCCGCATTTCGGTTTATCTTTTGTCGATGCTTTCGCAACTGATCATCGACTACGTCTGCCAGCGTCAGTGAAGCCCCAACCATGTGTGCGTATGTCGGGGGACTCTCTTTTCAGTGTAGTACAAGCCAGTTCATATGTTGATTGCAGTTCAGTGCAGGTTTAGTGTTTAGCTTTTGCCCCTCACAGAGCAAAATGCATCACTGCACTTGTCTCCCTGCAACAGACAGAGCGGCTATGTCTTGCTGCATTTGGTTGGTTAACTTAAAGAGGGCCATGTTGGCATGTTGCTGCTCACTGAACTCAAGGTGGGGATGCAGAAATGGGACAGAGTAACAGACAGACCATAATCAGTTGCCATACCAAATCATTTGGCTGTTGCAAGTGCTTCAGTTTTTTTTTTTGATGATTGTAAGGCAAGAGGGCGTGGTATATATGGCTAGCAATTGATCTCTTTCTCGCACGAGCGTGAAGTTGCCAAGTCTTTTTGTTTTGATTGGTTTTTGTTCTCAGTTTGAAGATGAAGTAGAGTTATTTCGCCATTTCGCCTACCGTTGATGTCCAAGTGTAGGGGTTGAGTGCCAGCCAACAATTCAGAACTAGAGCTTTTGCCTCTAGTTATTGCCTGTTCAGCAACTGTGTAACCAAGTGAGCTCGCCCCACTTCATTTCACTTACTAGTTATGCTTAGTAAGCCACATATGCAGAAAGAAGTAGAAACAAGTTGCAATCTTACACATTCCCTACCGGGGTTTTGACACGATGCAATTTTGTAGTACAATGTAAGCAGAAAAATATTGACATCCAAAATATCAAACTTAATAAAAAAATTGGGCATTTCTTCCATTTTTCTCTTGCAAGGCTCATTGTCAAAGTCTCGTTTGTTTCAGTAAGGGTTCCGTTGACGGTTGTCAATGGTGAAGTCGGAGCCGTTGCCTCGTGGAGAAGTGACGACGGTGACACTTCATGACAATCTCAACGAAACAACGATGCTCTCTTCTTGACAACGTGTATCTCTTTACGCGGGTAGTCAGATCGGCCAGCGTTGCCCTATGAATTGCCGTGACGGTTTTCACTTGTTTTTTTTTCACTAACTTTTTTAGGTGATTTTTTTCACTAACTAAAACGGGCAATTATAGAGACGAGGCAAATGATTCAAAGAAAGTGGTTACACTCCTCTTGTCAACCCGCTGACTTGCTGGGCGCAGTGGATCCCGTCGATCGCTTGCCCGATTGATCCACTCCAGATTTCCGACGCGCGCGGCGGCGGGCCCACCGACGGCGACGGAATTACCAAAGAAGACAGAATCCAGCCGGCTCACCAATCAAAATCCATCGCGAGTTCGCGACGACCTCTCTCTCTCTCTCCGCCCACTCTGCTCCGCTCCCTCCTCCGCCGGCTTCCCTCAGACCCCGGCGCGGCCGCGCGCCGAGCCCTCCCTCCCGCCGGCGCCGGGAAGCCCGTCCCGGTGGAACAAGCGGCGCGGCCTCCCCCCGCTGGTCCGGCGCTTTCGCAGGCCGCCGGCGACCCGCCCGCCCAGGTTCAGGCTGACCTCTCCCACGCTACTGCTTAATTCGATTGTTCCGTGCCATGCTATTCTTCCGGCGAAGCAATCAAATCCATACCTCTGTTGTATTAGGCATTCCAATCCATCCAGACACCCAGTTGGTGCTGGGAGTTTTTGATCTGCTGTTCTGAATTTTCGGCCCGCGGCTCGTTTACCAGAGGTTTTGAGGGGTTCAGCTCTGAATCCGCTCCTGTGGTGAGAGATGAAGCTGGTGCCGAGGGAGGCGGAGAAGCTGGCGCTGCACGGCGCCGGCTTCTTGGCGCAGAAGCGCCTCGCCCGCGGCCTCCGCCTCAACTACACGGAGGCCATCGCCCTCATCGCCGCGCAGGTGAGGAACCGAGGATGCGAAACTCTCCGATGCTGTTTCCACAAGCCAATTCATTGGTTGAATAATACCTTGTTCTGCTTCCTGATACATACAGATTCTCGAGTTTGTTCGGGATGGAGACAAAACTGTAACTGACTTGATGGACTTGGGGAAACAGATGCTGGGCAGGTTCGTTTGTGCATTCAGTGCAGTAACCAACCTTTTGACCCCCTCTCCAGAAACTCCGCATCTCAGTATTATGCTTATCTCGGGGAAAAAGAAGAAGAAGGAATGTACACATTTTGAACTGCCTAGACAGATAAAAGAAAAGCATGATGTTGATGTTGGCTTCAGTGTCTCTTGACCAATTCTCTGGCTGAATTAGTGGAATCCGACTTTACTGAATATGCACTAGTTTATAATAGACACAACAGAATGCTAGCAAGCCTTCTCCTTATTTCTCATTTCACATGCATAAGCTACGCAAAAGCTGGTGCCACTTGCTCACATCTTGCTTGAACTAAGGTTAGTTCAAAACCACAACACTTATTTTGGATCGGAGGGAGTAGAAGATTCTCTGTTAGCCTATGACAGATTTGTTACTTCATAAATTATATCCGCTATCTAAGACTTTTGTTATGTGTGGGGAGCATTGTTTAAGATTTTCCTGTCACATTGTTTAAGATCATTGATTAAGTTACTGTACGTGATGCCGTTGCTGTTCTGTAACCTTATGCTCTGAGACTTTTACCTTTTTCTTGCCTATCAGGAGACAAGTTCTTCCGGCTGTTCCATACCTTTTGGACACTGTACAGGTTATTTCTTTGCTCATGCTATATGATATTGATCAATTTCCTCTGTCCTAGATCCTTGGTTTGTAATGATACAGGAAATAGTTATATTTATGATGCTAAGATTACAACTAGCCATGTTCAGAAACAGGTTGGGGAAACCCTGTTAAACCCCTCCAGTTCAAAAATGCCACCTGAAACTATGGTTTGCTCGTGTACTACTCAAGTGCGTAGACGGTTGAACAGATGGCCAGATAACTGCCATCTGTTTGAACAGGCAGCCAAAAAAAATGTAGATGGCTCTTTCGATGAGATGCATACCAAAATAAATACACTTCACGGCTCCAACTTGCCTACAGAATGTCTGTGATACAACCAAACACCTTAGGAGGTACCTTGAACTCTTGTTGACCCAAGATAAGTTCTCTTTGGAGCTTCATGCCAAGTATCCTGGATTATGCAGATTAGAATGTCTGCCTCTCATCAGCCATCCTTTATTTATAGTACTAAAGTTACAACTAGGCCATAATACGGGCTCTGATTGGACCCAGATACTAACTTTACAACAGTATGCTTGACAATTATGCTTGTTGCCATAATCTTTCAAAATAAACTCAATTATAACATCTTTTCTAGGTTGAAGGAACATTTATGGATGGAACAAAACTAATTACTATACATGACCCTATTTGTTCTGATGATGGAAATTTGGAGCTAGCTCTGCATGGTTCTTATCTCCCAGGTTGTCAACGCTGACCAACTCACTTGGTTTACTAATAGAAGTTTGTATTTTAAGTTGCATGCTTGTACAAATCTTAAAATACTGTACTTGTGGTAATCTGGCTCTTCTAGAAAGTTTTATTGAGTTATCAGTTTGAGAAACATTAAGAAGCAAAAAGGGTAACTGTACATAAATTATTAAATTGTTGCAGTACCTTCACTTGAAAAGTTTTCTGGGAGTGATGTTGAGGACTATCCTGGTGAAGTGCATTTCTGCTCTGGACGCATAATCCTCAACCTTCATCGCAGGGCTTTAACTCTGAAGGTTGTTAACAAGGCAGACAGGCCTATTCAGGTAAGCACATATGGATGTTTTTGTTTGGTGTCCTGACTGCAAATTTACAAATAACTTCTTATTCTATGACATTTTCATTTGATGGATCTTTTCCCCTGACTTATTTTCACAATTGGACCTATGCTTTAATGCCACTCCTTGTGGTACAACTGTGAGTACTATTCATTTAACAAGATCACTCCTACAGTCCTGCCACCCCTTGGAAATATCATAGCACTTTATCCACATGTAGCATAACATGGTGCTGAACCGGCAGCCGTGTAACAATGTTGTTACTTGTAACACTGCTAAAGGCAGTGAACAGCCGTCCTCCACAGTCCACACCACATTAGGTTGAACATGTAAATGTGTTAAAGAGCTAACAGCTTAATTAGGTGATGGAGTTAGCTGAATGGCTCTAGATACTAGGGAGACAATCGGGCCAACCCACTTACTTGGTGGTTCACTTTCACTTACTTGGGTTTTCACTTTGTACACATGCTATTTACATTATTGATCAAGCAAAAGAACTAAAATGGATCAATAGGTCGTCCTGATCCAAACTTGTATCCCTAGCTCTATCTAACACTGACTTATCCTCCTAAAGTTCTTTTTGGGAAATTAATTTCAGGTACATTCTTTATTTAATTATGTTGCTCAAATTCATGCATTAGTATAGCCATGTTGATCTTAACGGGTGCAAGCTGTTACTCTTGTTAAAACGGCTGTTGCATGCTGTGGTTCCTTTTCTTGAGTTTCCATCAATATTTTATTGCTCTTTTTCAGGTTAAAGTTACATTTTCTCCCTTTTACATACTGTTGTTACGATCCAATTGCCTTTTCTTTCCACATACTTTTCATAATACGTTCATTTTGCATCGCATTCAACAATCTCACGATTTTTATGGGGCTATACCGCCCTTTAAGATTCTGATGCTACTATAAGTTGTAGTTCATGAGAAAAAATATCCAAATTGTGTTTTGCAGATCGGGAGCCATTACCACTTTATAGAGGCCAATCCGTACCTGGTTTTTGATAGACACAGAGCCTATGGCATGAGACTGAATATACCTGCTGGAACAGCCGTTCGGTTTGAGGTTCTTTTATTCGATCCATCCTTTGGCATTTCCTGCTCTGTAGAGCCTAAAAATACATTTCAAGTACTAGGGATCCTACTTATTCTCACATATATTCCACACATCCTACTTCTAAAATCCTCTAGAATCTGATTTCTTATTTATTTGTTTCAGCCAGGGGATGCAAAAGGTGTTACACTTGTAAGCATTGGTGGTCATAAAGTAATTAGAGGTGGAAATGGCATTGCTGATGGTGCTGTTGACAGTTCTCAGCTTAATGAGGTAATGCAGAAGATTACTGAGAATGGTTTTGGACATGAAGATTATCCGGATGCAAGGTTGTTTCCTTCACATTTAACTAATGGTAGAGGATAAATCCAACTTGTTGAATTTATTATGGCTTAGATGTTTACCTTTGAAACTTTGGTTGCAGCGAAGGTCTTATTGGTGACGGTACATTCGACTGCAGTGTTGATCATGAGAAATACTCTAGCATGTATGGACCTACAACTGGTGATAAGATTAGGCTTGGTGATACCGATCTTTTTGCGGAGATTGAAAAGGACTTTGCTGTTTATGGTGATGAGTGCATATTTGGAGGGGGGAAAGTTCTGCGTGATGGAATGGGACAATCCGCAGGGTATCCAGCATCTGCCTCCCTGGATACAGTTATAACAAATGCTGTTGTGATTGACTATACAGGAATATACAAGGCTGATATTGGTATAAAAGATGGGCTTATTATTGCCATTGGGAAAGCTGGAAACCCTGATGTCATGGATGGTGTGCACAGCAACATGATTGTTGGGGTAACAACATACCTGCACCTTTTAGATTGATTTAATAAATAAGAGGAGTACATTTTAAATAGATTTCATGCTTGAAATCGTTTCCAGGTGAATACAGAAGTTATTGCTGCTCAAGGCATGATTGTAACTGCTGGTGGTATAGATTGCCATGTTCACTTCATATGCCCTCAGCTGGTAAATGAGGCAATTGCAAGTGGTAAAGTTCCTTAGTCTTTGCACCTATTAGTTGTTACCGAGGGAAATTAAATATCGATTTTAAAAGAAAAATAATCCAGACACATCCAACGAAAACAATTTTCCAAAGTTGACTTTTATGGAGGAAAAGAAAAGAACAGGATGGGAGATTCAAGCCGAGCCCTGCATGATACCAGATCTAAGACCACAACAGATGTGCTTCTCTATCATAGTTTTAAATATAGTAATCATTCTATTTGAATGTTGTGCCTGAAGTCAAAGCGGGGTAATCTTTTTTGCCGGACTTGTGCTTTACTTGGGATGACCTGAGAATCCCCGAAATGTATTCCCTGCTAGTTGCTACAGACCTGCTAGTTACTAAAGACAAGGGACAGAGAATCACATCCCTTTGAGTTTGTACTATCTTGAAATTTTCATAGCATTTTCTAAAAATATGGGTACTGACACTGACAAACATTCTGGCAGGACTCGCATTTTCTATAACTATACTTTATGGTTGAATATAATTAATTACACATACAAAAAGGTTTTCTATTCAATATTCAAATGCATGTTTGGAGTAACTACTGATAAATGATGAGGTCATTAAATCATCTCCACATTTATTTGTAGGCATAACAACATTGGTGGGAGGTGGAACAGGACCAGCACATGGAACTTGTGCCACAACTTGCACCCCTGCACCGTCTCAAATGAAACTAATGTTGCAGTCCACCGACGAATTTCCAATCAACGTGGGATTCACAGGAAAGGTATATATGTTATGAACACTAACTAAAGGTTCAATACAAATGCTAAATCTGTTTAGCCTTATACTAATCTTCTTTAGTTGTGAAATAAAATGATGGTTTCTAGGGTGGAATACAGCTAACAAAATATACATCAAGATTTCAGTCCCTACCATTTCAGAGCTTCATAGTTAGTGTTTCCTACATGTTATTTTTATGGTATGTGGAGAAAACATTGGAGACTGTTATCCAAGTGTCTTGCAACCAGAAAGGCAAGAAACCAACATATGGCATTGGATAGGATGGACTGCTTGCACTAATATCTTAGTTGACTGGTTCTTATATAGATCATGGGAACTCGAATTTGTTAATTAGAATGTATCCAAATGTAGGCCTAAGTCTGGGTAGTGAATACAGCAAAGTGATGATATCGTTGCTCAAAATCTAAACATTTATCCCTGTCGATATACTGTGCAGGGAAATACTGCAAAACCCGAAGGATTATCTGAGATCATTATGGCAGGAGCAATGGGTTTGAAGCTGCATGAAGATTGGGGAAGCACCCAGCTGTGATAGATAACTGTTTATCTGTTGCAGAAGCTTTTGATATCCAAGTATGATGTCTTGTATTATCATCCTATCATGCCGGTATACCTGCATATTTTTTATTCTGGTGATGCTCATCGAAATTCTACAGGTTAATATCCACACGGATACCTTAAATGAAGCAGGTTGTGTGGAGCATACAATTGCAGCTTTTAAAGATAGGTCCATACACACATATCACAGGTATGGAGCATGCTGTATTCAGGTGTTACATTTTTTCTACGTCACATCTATATGGGTTGTATGCGGAGAAAAGTTGTATTTTCTGTGATGCCGTAGAAACTACCCTGTCAATTGTTGAGAAATCTGGTAACTGAAAATGCCGGCCAAAATGAAGATGGAAAATGAGTCGACATTTTAATGATTATAACTCACAGCCCCCCCTTCCAAAATATTCTTTTGTCATGTTGTAGAATTCAAATTGTTGGGTATATCGGGCAATTTTTAATGGTGCTTATGTTCTTATTGTCTTGTAAACAGCGAAGGTGCAGGTGGTGGTCATGCCCCAGACATCATTAAAGTATGTGGGGTGAAAAATGTGTTGCCTTCTTCAACAAACCCAACCCGGCCTTTTACTTCTAACACTGTTGATGAGCACCTTGATATGCTGGTAAACAATTGTCTCATGCTGATGCTATGAGTATTACTCCCTCCTTAAAGAAATATAAGAGCGTTTAGATCACTAAAGTGATCTTCGTTAAGATCACTTTAGTGATCTAAACGCTCTTATATTTCTTTACGGAGGGAGTACTTGAGAATTTGGTCGTCATATATTGTGGTTCTCCTGTAGATGGTTTGCCACCACCTTGATAAAAACATCCCGGAAGATGTAGCATTTGCTGAATCAAGAATTCGAGCAGAAACAATTGCGGCTGAGGACATCTTGCACGACATGGGGGCAATCAGTATCATATCATCTGATTCACAGGCCATGGGTCGCATTGGAGAGGTCTGTTACATACCCTTATCCTTTTTTTCATTGTGATGAACAGTTTTCACATCTCATGTTACTTTGGTTGGTGGCAAGATTGGTTAGTTTAGTTCTGATGATCTTCATAACTTGTATTCAAAGCCTTGATTTGCATCCTCCATTTATGCCAATACAAACCATAAATTAGTTAAACGGTGAAGTAGAAACGACAGCTGCACCGGTATGTGATTGGCTCATAATGTTGTGTTTGTTGAATTGATTGTCTTTACCATCAATCAACATGTGTACCCTTGACAATCTCTCAGGTGAATACAGTGATCAACTAGGTCAATGCACAAGAGGCACTATAGCCTATGGTGTATGTCTAGTTCATGATGAACGTGGGACGAATTAGATGACCCATTTACCAAAGTTTTTTTTAATCTTGAAGATGAAAATCAATGGTGTCGATTTATAACAAATATCAGTCCAGTGGGTGACACTGACAGGCACGGATGGGCAAAAATCATTTTTTTCCCAATCTCAGAGTTACATGAATCCAATTAACCTGATTCCTGGTATATCACCTTGTGGCACTAATAGATGGCCCGGTCTCAACTTCTATCACACGTGAGAGACCAGCTAAAGGTTTTGCCTGTGTCAACTCAACAGTTATAAGGAAAAATAACAATTTGATGGAGCCAGAGTTTTGGAAGTGCAGAGTACTTACGGTGCTTAACTAAATGGTTGGATAGTATCATGGGTGGCAATATTATTGGTGAATATCTCAGCGTTAACCTTAAGCAGGGCAAGGCAGAATGATTGTTGCCTTGCTTGTATCTGTACTGGCAGATCTGTGTAACAGTCAATGCATTTCTCGTGTCACATGGAAGTGAACTGCTTTAATGCATCTTAGGGTTGATGCTAGTTTCTGAATTTCTACTATTCATAATAACCAAGTGCAGATTCAAATACTACTTGCAGGTTACAAATCATCATTTCCTTGTGTTTTGAGTTCAAGTAAATTATTTTATGTCAGTCCTCTTATTCTGTACACCGGATTGTATTATTCATTTTATGTGCTAATTCATCAGAATGTAACTAGGCAATGTAGTAATTTCTGTATTATCGTAAACTTTAGGGAAATGGCGTGAAAATAACTTCAGGAGGAAATAATACCAGTTTATTTTCAAATCTAGTGTCAATGTAAACCAAACAAATCAATTCATTGGAGCAACTATCAGCTTATGAGTATCATAAATTAATCGTTCTAATGAAGTACGTCTTTTGGCTTTCTCGGATAAGCCGTGATGGAAAAAATAGTTATTTGAGAGACTTGAACTGATATACTTATAAGTCTAGATTGACGTCTGAGCTCTAGTAACCAGCAGCTGATTTCAAACTTGATTTATTTATATGCATTTATTGAAACAATTACTTTTCAGGTGATTATCCGAACATGGCAAACTGCAAACAAGATGAAAGTCCAAAGAGGTAGGTTACATGGGCCTGGCGACTCTGATCCTGCCAAGGATAATGACAACTTCCGTATAAGAAGATACATAGCAAAATATACCATAAATCCTGCTATAGTAAGCGGCTTCTCAGATTTTGTTGGTTCTGTGGAGGTATGTCTCTTGACCACTTTCAGATTTTCTTCCATTAAATGCTTCATATTCAGTAGACAACATAAGGTAGGCAATGCTGTCCACACACTGTGAAATTAGGCATCTAAAGGAAAAGGGTTATGTGCTTTGTTTAATATGCTTGATATAATTTCAGGGTAATATAATGTAATAGCAACTTAGCAAGTCTAGCAACATATGTAATTTCACTGTAGCTCCTGAAAAATGTTGTGTATCAAGGCAACTCGGAATATTTTGTTGATTGGTATCACACCCACCTGCATTCTGGCTAAGGATTTCCTTTTCTGAATATGTCAATTCAAAAGCTAACTGATCCTTACTTTTGAATTGTTTTTCCATTTTAATATTTATCTCTATGTGCTTTTGGCAGGCGGGAAAGTTAGCTGATCTAGTTCTTTGGAAACCTGCTTTCTTTGGTGCAAAACCAGAATTAATCATAAAAGGTGGTGCAATTGCGTGGGCCAATATGGGTGATCCGAATGCTAGCATTCCAACACCTGAACCTGTATGGACTCCTTTCTCTGAGATCCTTTGAATAAGAAAGTCTTGCATTAATCCTGTCATAATGTTTCCATTTAGCTTACATGAAAATAGCTAGCTTGTCAGTTATGACCTAGTTGACATTAACAGCCAAGTTTGACCAGCACATCACTGATGTTGGTGCAAGAAAAATCTTGCCCCATGTGCAATTGAAATTGATAAAACATGCTCTTTTTATAATCTAGCTCTTCTGCTGTAGTTACCCACTTGTTTTGTCAAGGATGCACAAAAGATCAGCTGTGCCTTTTCATTAATAGAAGATAAAAGGTTTACAAAACTAGGAGGGTGAACTTGGTGGCCTAAAATATCAAGAAACACACTCTGCATACCAAGGAGCACACACCCTACCTTGGCCCTGTGAGCTATTACAAATTAGACTATAGGATTGATTCACAACCTGAAGACCCAAACAACCCAGGGACCTAGGTCAGCAAGCTTCACAGACACAACTCCTGTCAGGTCACTCGTGCTTCCTCTTGACCTTGGTGATGATCGCGACGACATCTGGTTTGTCGTTGTTAAATTATGATGGTATGTGGTAAACTACCAAAAAAAAATCTATGTTAGATGAAGAAACTACAAAGTGCGGATGAATCAGCATGTTTCTCAAAAAAGAATCAGCATTTTACTCTTTTGTCGATGTCTCCACAATCTTCTTGTAGTTGAAAAACTTACAGCACAGAATGGTGTATTCTTGATGCAGGTTATGATGCGACCTATGTTTGGTGCATATGGAAAGGCCGGGAGTTCTCACTCGATTGCATTTGTGAGCAAGGTTAGCCTATTGAACTCTTGTAACGAATTTAGGATGATTAGTAATGTTCGATACCATACCTCACTACTAACGTTTTGTTTTTACAAAATAATGCCGTGAAAGAAACTTTTGCAAGCTTAATATAGATAATATGTATAGCGATATCTTTGGTGAAAGAAATATATCCATCTACTGATATGGTCTTGAGGAATGGCAATGACTGCTGTTTAATATCTGAAATGATCACAGGCTGCCAAAGAAGCTGGTGTTGCATCAGAGTACAAACTAGCAAAGAGGGTGGAAGCTGTTGTTGGCGTCCGCCATTTATCGAAGCTGGACATGAAGCTCAACGACGCGCTTCCGAAAATCAAGGTCGACCCCGAGACCTACACGGTTACTGCTGATGGAGAGGTCCTGACTTGCCAGCCAGCAGCCACGGTGCCATTATCTCGGAACTACTTTCTTTTCTAGGCCACCCATTGCTTGAGAAATTCTTGGAAGGTCAATAATTCACTCAACTAGCTTCGACGGTAACTTCAAGTTGCGCATGGGAGATGTGCTGCTGGCTCAAAATAAACAATTATACATTTACATGAAAAAAAATCACACGTATACATATTGCAATACTTCAGTTTCTTGAAAAGTTTTGTGAAAATACATACATCCTTGAGTCATGTGCAAAACAAAAAAAAAGGTGCAGAATAGGTTCTTATAGTCAATCATTGTAGTATTTTTATTGTGGAAACACAAAATAGCTCACTTGGGCCTTTATAAAAAAATCTGATGGAAAATTAGAAATGTTCTTCTCAGTTCAGATGTTTACACAAGTTAAAATTTTCACAACGTACTGCTTGCGGCTGTATTTGCTAATCTAGCTTGAATGGAAGTCACTACGAGGACGGCTGCCGTTTGAGAATTGCCGCGTCGTGGCGGTGGTGACCTCGGACGTCGACGGGAACGACATTCCGACGAACTCGTCGAAAGCCTCATGGTGCTCGAACTGCTTCATGCTCTCGCTGATAACCTCCGGCGACATCTCTGGCGGGGGCACGGCATGTTCCAGCATCTGCACCACCTGCCTCATGCCCGGCCGGCGCTCCGGGTCAGGGTGCGAGCA